TTTTTGCACATGTCAGTTGTAACCTGTATACTGGCTAACCGAATGGCAGACTAAAAGAAAAACATCTAAAGTATTCGGGTTTAGCTTCAAAACTGCATATAAGTGCTCTGATATACCACCCACAGGGCAAAGGATCCGCACAAACCTTATGGGTTTGAGTTCCCGATCGATTCATCTGAATTTTTGATATGTTGTACTTGACACCCTCCTGATTAAAAGTGTTCATATAGGCCAAGCAAATAAAATTTTTACTCGAAAAAATTCCTATCCGCGAGATTATTGTAAAATTGTCTAATGGAACATAATACAAGACATCAATCATCTCGTGAGTCAAAAAATTTTATTAGCTAACTTTTCTATTTAGACAAATAAGTGAGGAAAACAATGTTTTCACTTTACAGGGAAAACCATCAATTTTAGCGAAAAGTGACTCACACACAGCTTGTAGGGAGTAAAATTATCTACAAANATTTGCCTTAAACAAAAAATATTGAAAAACATGAACAATCCCTACTCGAAAATGAAGACGTCGATCGTGAAATTACTTACGGTTATTTCCTTTGACATTATCAAAATTTGCTGGCATAAAATATGCATTTAAAGTAAAAAATCATTAAAAAAATTAAAATACATCCTTATTGAAATAACAAATAACTATTTTCATAACTAACCTTTATAACAACATAACGAGAATACCTAAAAACGAAGTAACATTAACATACAAATTATGAATTTTAGTGCAATTAAATTATTGTTGGCCCAACAAAACTGCATATAAGTGCTCTGATATACCACCCACAGGGCAAAGGATCCGCACAAACCTTATGGGGTTGAGTTCCCGATCGATTCATCTGAATTTTTGATATGTTGTACTTGACACCTTCCTGATTAAAAGTGTTCATATAGGCCAAGCAAATAAAATTTTTACTCGAAAAAATTTCTATCCGCGAGATTATTGTAAAATTGTCTAATGGAACATAATACAAGATATCTATCATCTCGTGAGTCAAAAAATTGTATTAGCTAACTTTTCAATTTAGACAAATAAGTGAGGAAAACTGTTTTTTCACTTTGCAGGGAAAACCATCAATTTTAGCGAAAAGTGACTCAGACAGCTTGTAGGGAATAAAATTATCTACAAAATGAGACTTGTTAAATTAAAATCGGTTGATAAACAAAAAAGTTATTGCAAAAAAACAAGAAAAGTGCCCATTTTTTAATTTGTTTATAACTATCGCATTTATTGTTAAAATTTTATAAAACCTATGACAAACTGAGGGTTTTGTCATACTTTAAAAGTGTGCCAAAAGTGGGCGCTGTAGGTGCAATAGTTTTCGCACAATTCAATTTGTTTATAACGGAGGCTCCAAAAGTTATGAACTTTAAACCTCTGTACAGGCGTTAATTTTCAACCAAACATGATTCTGAAAGCGTCATTGTAACCTTAAAGATGTAATTAAGCGACCTATTAATAAAATATCACCGTTTTTTTAACATTAACATTCTCAAATTGTGCTTTAATAACCGTGCGTTTTTCGCTTATAAACAATTTGAATAAAATTGTTGCTATTTATGCTACCTTACCGAAAATAGATGCAATGGATAGCTGGCAGAAAAATACAAATTTTAAAAAAGTACCTTCTACGACCAACAGGAGCCAAGATACGATTTTTTTTAAATCGTAGCGCAATTGTTTATAAACATTAAGACTTGAATTTTTCGCAAAATAAAATTTACGACGTAAACTACGATTTCCCGTGAATTGCATTGAAAAATGTGGAAAATTAACGACTCACGAACCCTTTAAAGAGAAGGTACTTGCCAAGTAAACTGTCCGGCGTGAAATCCAAAGTTCAAATTGATGCGCGCTGTAAATTTGGCAATATCCAATAAAATATTTATGTCATTTCCTGCAATTCTAGGCCTTAACATACAAGAACGTGTTTATTCTATTTTCTTCAAAAAGAAAGTATCTAACATTATTCTCCAAAATGAATCAAATTTGTGCTATGTGAGTTTTTACAGAGCGCCTCAAATTTTTGTATATGAATAAAACTGTATCTGTTTCTGAATATGGGTGGAAAAATGTTAGGGTATTTATTGCTGCAAAACGCAGTTGCAGCTTTTAGAATTCTGGGTCGTATCCAAGCTTCTGAATAGAAACGTTAAAAATCAATACTGAATATGGGTTACAGCTGTAGTGTTTACTAAATTTGTACTACAAAGCATTGAAGTTACTGAAATAGAAAATGTGAGGCAGTCTGGCGTGAATAAAGTTAAAATAATGCAGGATAAACTTAGAAAGTCTCTATAAAAAAATATTGAAGTTTTTCATTCTATTATCTTTGAATAATTTGGATGAATCTGTTTTTGCGGTCTTCATTAAATGTAAGTAAAACTCATATTTTAAAATATTTTTCTTTTTCCAGTTGCAAAACTAGAAAATTTGCCTAGATAAAAACAAATTTGTCTGATGGTATTTTTAGTTTAACAAAGAATTTGTTCTTCCTTCTGTTGTCCTTATTTTGAGATACCTACCTAGTATCACTAGCGTTAGATAGGTTTATTTTTTTAGAAAATTCCTTTTCACAACAGTGTTTTCGAGGTTTATCTTATTATATTTGTCATATTTACCTGGATTTAATTTGTTTCCAGTAGTAGTGAGGCATTGTTAAAAATTGGGGTATTCAGGTTTTCTCTCCTCTCTCTCCTCCTCTTTGCTGGTGTAGATAAACAGATAAGATAAAAATATAAGGGTCGTCTTTTTTTCAGAAGTTATAATTTGTTTAGTTTTTTCAATAGTTTTGTGCAAAAAATAGATTCATCATGATGATGACGTAGGTTGTTGAAGTTTATGCATTAAGTAAAAATCTATTCTATTCCAATTTACAAAAACAATAATTTCGTATTACGTTTTTCAGTAGTGTGAGATATTCGTGTTGGTGTTTCCTTGCTATTAAATCCAGTTTACCATAGATTTACATTTAAGCAACTAACCGCTAGTATTTATTGGTCGTTCTTGGACCTGCCGTCTAAATCGCAAAGTAAGACTTTAATTGTCTTTCTATATACTGGAAATACCTAATTTTACGTTTGTTGATTCATTCCCCCCTTTTATTATTATATTGAGAAGATTCGATGAAATATAATAAATAAAAATCAACTAATTATGGTGTTTATTGACTTTTTTTATTTATGTCTACGTATGGCATGCTAAATAGAAGTTCATCTAAGGGAACGACCCTATTGTTTTCTTTATGATTTCCAAACAATCTAACAGTTCTTGCTTTTAATATCTACTTACATATTAAAACACAACAGACTCGAATAACAAAATTTAATTTACTTTAGTGGCTAGTACTATTACGAGGCCTGTTCAGAAAATAACCGAACTTTATTTTTTTAAACTTTATTATTAATTATATATATTACCTATTGGTCCTAATTGATAATATATTACAGCCAGTGATAGTGGAGAATTATATTTTCGTGTTTTACGTAATATTAATGAGTTTGACCTGTTTTAACGTTTTGTATGTATTTAATATTGAAATATGTAATTTATTTGCAATGTATTATCGCCCAAGAACCACCTTCGCATTTTAAACAAATAAACTAGTTACGTGTGGCTGGTGTAGCTTCAAAATGAACCTACGTTGATCGCTTACAATTAATTGCGAGCAAAAGCAATAAAATAAACTTTGTGGATACTCATTTGTAATAAATTACGAATTAAGAATAGCGGTGCAGCGAAATGACTGTCGTTTAAAATAAATCATATAATTAGATATGTCAGTAGAAATAAAATGTGTATCCTGAATATTGAAGTCAATTATTGTGCCTTGTGCATTATTTGAACAATTAAAATCTTAGTCTCTTTATTTATTTATTATTTATTTATTTCCTATGCAAGATGGCGACATTTTAATACTGTCGGATCGACAATGAAACGATCTTTCAGAATCATGAAAAAAAATAGGGGGTTGCTATTTTAAAAAATGTCGATGACGTCATTACTCGAAAACAAATGACGGCTGAAAATCGCCTTTTATGCTAAAATATGTATTTTTTAAATTAAAAATCGACCCGAAAAAAATTTGTTTCGTTTTTACTGAATTTATTCCATACTTTAGGCGCGTACTGTATATTTACTTAACATGTTTTCCAAAATGGTGTATCCTGGATTTTTTCCAACACTCTTTGCATTTTTTTTGCCGTACTACTGACTGGACTTATATTATTAGCATTTATTATTTATTATTTATTTATTAATTTTTTTATTTATCATCCATTAGGTATACCAAATTGTTCTTTTAGGGATAGTCCATGTGATTCCAATTTACGGAATTATGGAACTTGGGGTTCTCTAGTTTGTTTAATGGAATATTGCTTGAAAGAAAGTAGTCGTCTGTAAGTCCTCTTCAAAATGTCGCTTTAGTTTTGTAACAAGAATTTATAATGCACTTTTCCTCACCAAGTAATTGTTGTTAATGTAAATTATGTTATTATTTATAAATAGCTAATTAAATACACACGGCGAATACAATTTACAGCAGACGTAAAAAAGAAAGGTATCTACGCTACACCGACTACTACAAGGTTTCGTAAATAACTGAACCGTTCAAAACGGGAGTCAGCTGTGAAGGCCACCGACCCTCGCGCCGGCTCTGTTAGACTCTGCTCGTGCACTAAATCTAGTTATTAGTATCCTAAAATTAGTTTTTATTTAGTTACTTATATCGTAAAATTAGCTTAGTGTGTTAGTTTCATCTAATCGATTGTAGTAAACCATTATCTGTTGCAATTTGATCAATTCCTATTTTTTTTTACCATAATTATATTCTCATATTATATACCCTTTACTTATCTTTCATTTTCCTTGATTTTGATTCACTTAAACTTTCAGAATAAATAACATAATCACGGTTCAAACTGCATTACAGACAACAAACGTTTTGTGGACGTACCTAATTTTTTTAAACGAAATTTTTTTTTTCCAGGGGGAGCAGCCGAACGCGCAGGGCTTCATGCTGGTGATAAAATAATTAAAGTTAATGGTGTTAATGTTATGCAATCAACACACACCCAGGTTGTTGCTCTAATAAAATGTAAGTATATACTTTACGATTTTTAATGTTTTTGTGTACTTACGCGCTGTTTTTACAAATTTAAAGGTTTTAGAATTAGGATATAGGTGATGGTAAATATAATTTTAGGAATCATAAAAACGAGACAAAATGTAATAATATTAACTCTTCGATTAAATTGAGGAATCTGAGATAAATATGTCACTATCTTGAGTTATAAGATTCGACTAAATCTCGTGTTGGTTGCATACTGAAAAAATGTATCTACACAGTAATATCAGTCATTGTCCTATGAGTTAAAAAAACAGCTTTTAAGCTTTCGTAGGACGTATACAAAATGTTTGTTCTATTTATATCGTAAGTGGCTTCTTGCGATAGCTATTTAATTAAGGTTCATATTGAGGCATACAGAAGGTCTTAATGTGCCTAAAATAGAGTAAAAAGTGCGAGAACAAATAATAAAATATATGTAGTAGTTCCGTACTTCGTGCCTGATATGTTAGTTCTTCAATAATTTTAACCTTATTGACTGGTAAGACGGTCGAAGTCTGTTCAGAATATAATAATTACGCTCTAATGGACGAGTATTTAGTGATATGCAGTTGGAAGCATTGTGTTCTGCATAACCTCCTGTGCAACCACATGTTCTTGGATTGTTGATATCCCATTTAGTTTTCGACATATTGTTATTTGAGTGCAACGTGTTTAAGTGACGATTTTTGAAATGTGCGATTTTCTGGAACAACGATGCAACGTACATTTTTGTATGAGACTGGGGAGAACTTTCGCGAAAACATTTTAACTTTTGAAACAAGCTTACGGAGATGATGCTATGGGTCGTATGCAATGGTTTTCAAGATTTAAAAGTGGTGGTCAGTCAATTAAAGATGGTCCTCGACCAGGAAATTTTGATTAAAAAATTGAACATGCATCGAGCTGCGGCAAAAGTTCCTTGATGACCGAACAACAGAAAGAAAATTGTGTGGACGGTAGTCGGCAACTCCTTGAACACATAAAAAACATAAAACACACCACAGAAATGAACAATCAAATGACGATGAAACATTCACTCAAGTGTTGTAATGCCTACTTCCAGCGAATTCTAAGGATTCGTCAAGTTCAAAAATCTAGGCAGCAACGTCCCCAATTAATTTTCCAGGATCATAGCAGACCACGTCCGGGGCAAATCCGACATTATGTATCTCCTGACTTGTCCGTCTGCCCATCCCCGAAGCGAGGCGAGACAACTCACAATTTCACCTCACTTTCGAGGACATCCAACCATTTCAGAGTTCAGCCATCTTAGCACCAGACGGCATGACATTCCACTATGGTCCGGAAATCCGCCTCCGCAGACGCGAACGGCCTGTCATTCCACCATTGTTCAAATCCCGCCATCGAGCCCGATGCCATCTGACCATCCAACCACGACTCCACACTCCGATGCGGGTGTCGCCGTCTAACATGAAACCCATTGCTCCAGGGATAACTCCGCGAAATCGCATTTAACCGATTTCACCGATGTTTCTAATATTCCCTAACGCCGCGACCGACATCGCCCGGGTTTGCCGACGACGCGCTGTGTCCACTGCAGTGAAGACCGCTACCCGAGGACGAACCCCGACGCGCTCCAGAACGATATTGGGAAACGTCTGTCATCGATTTCGCCGATGTTTCCAATAGGTCCCAAGATGTTAAACCACATTACCAGCGAACCTCTCATGCTCCGGGGAGAACATGGCGATCAAAGTGGGGCTTTAACTCCGTGGAAGGTTCCTATGACCTCCTACACCATAGAACGGGGAACCAATCCCGAAGAAGAGGTGTGTTTACGACAAAAGAACGAGACAACTCATGGTTCTTGCACCATGACAATACTCCCACACATTCAGCTTTGTCAATTTTTTAGTTTTGTTCCAAAAATCATATTACTTTCCTTCTTCACCCTCCTTACTCGCCAGACCTGGCTCCTTGTGATTTTTTTCTTATTTCCGAAATTAAAATCGGTACTGAAGGGGCGCTGTTTCCAGACAATTGATGACATCAAAGCAAATTCGTCACAAACTTTAAAGGCCATTTCAAATGAAGCTTTCCAGGACTGTATAATATTTAAAAATATAAAGTTCGGTTATTTTTTGAACAGACCTCGTACTTTTTGGTAACCATAGTTTTAGGATTATTGAAAAAATATTAATTATAATAGCTTTTTCTAATTTTGCCCTTTTTGAAAGTTATAAAGATTGCCATATACTCATTTTTTTTATTGCGAACGTGCGATATAGCTACATATTTTTTACAGCTTATGTTCAATTTTTTCCTTGAATTTTTCGAGATCTCTGAGATTTAGTTTGTTTTTCGCTGAATTTCTTTTATAAAACAAATATTAGACCAATTCTGAATATAATACTTCATGTAAGTACGTTATTATATTTTTATTGTGTGATTTTATTTAAACTCGAGTGTTATTGTACTTGCCGATGTTATCGAAAATTTTAAAATATCTGCGATGGCGTATCGCATTACCTTGAATCGGATATTTATTTTAATTTCTGCGAAACAATACGCAGGAGACTGAAAAGCTTAACAGATGTATATTTAATAACGTTCCTTATTTATAAACCATTAAACTTCATTTAGAGGATACATAGGTGCATGTAAATGAGTTGGAAGGAGCGTAGCAAAGTTGTTCTGATGTCATAACAACAAAATCAATATGCAAGATGATACATATTCTATTTATAGGATACCAAAATAAAAGTTTAATGCTGTTTCGGTAATTAAATTGTTGTAAATTCATTGCGAAAAGTTTATAAAAATAGCTTAAGGTACGTTTAAAAAGGACACGACTTTTTGGCGAGGACTCTTGTGCTTAGCTTTAAGGTAGCGAAAATTGTAAATTGAAAATTGATTTCTTGTTTTTCTGTTCCACACTCATTACAATACTTATTTATTAACGCTTTGACAATAAAATTTGAACAAGTACTCTGTTTTAATTAATAAAATCGAAAGGTTTTGGTTAATTAAGTAATTTACCCATTATCACAGAGGAGTAGAGTTTCATTCATCAGTGTGTGGTTTTTATTAGACTTAACTACACATTTGTTGAATATAGTCTTTCCGAAGTCAGTTGAACATGTATTAACACGCCTGGCAATAAAACTTAATGAGATTCATAGGTGTCCCTAAAAAAGTTTTCTGCTAAAAAATAATATGAATTTGTATATAATGTGTAGAAAATTTCTATTAACCTATGTTCATTTGGTCAACAACATATTTTAATTATTTATTCATCAAACAATTTTATTATATTGATGGTAAACGTTTTGTTCCGTTTCAAAAGGTCTCCAAAATGTCTTTTTGTGATAATATTAGTAAACAAAATATTCCTCTTATTTCTCCCTTTCGCAATTGAAATCTGAATGATTCATAGAAGGTGCCTATAATAAATTAAAATTATCTGAATCACCAAATTTTGCATTGCTGTACTGCACTGCTATGCAATTTGTCAGTCACTTGTCAAGATCTGAGATTTATTGCCCAGTCGCCCAGTTCGGCTGTCTGTGTACGCCGTTTGCCCGCGCGCGCATTCTTCAACTGGGCGTATACATTTCTACCACCTCCATGTTTAGTTCGATCAGATCTGTATATGACTATGGCTAAATAAATATGGGAACAAGTTTTTCAAATATTCCCATGCCGAGTTGCTGCATTAGCGACCGAACCTGGTACATACTACCAACCTCTTGGTTCTTCAATTCAATTGAGATCGGAAAAACTATACATTTACATACTCATATTCTTTGTTACATTGTCGACTTTATTTATTTGTAATTCGGGATACAACAGTTCTGTTAAGCCTGCTACACAAGAAATGTAAGTCGGTCGGCTTAGCTTGTACAAACTAAATCGAATAATAAGTCAGTTTACGCCACACATTTTACATATTTCGACGATATCTAGTTTTCTTGTAGTGAGCATTTTCATTTATTAAATAGTGAGCTTTTTTTCATATGCAATAAAACTTTATTTCGATTTAATTTTATATCTACTTGCGTTTTCTCTATAAAACTGTTAACAAGTCTCTTGTAATATCAATCTTCTCAGGTCTGTCTTATTTACAAGCATTGCTTGCTGTTCGATGTATTTTACTAGAAAATGACGATTTTTTTTATAGGATTTCAATTATTTTTGAAAAATTCTTTTAGGGATAATTAAAATCTACTTCAGTATTTTTTTTTCTTACTAAGGTAATTGAAATAAATTTGTACTTATTTATTAAAAAACTTGTAACTACGACGTTATAGTTTTTCTCCAAATTCCGCATGTAGTTAAAAACTAAGAATAAAATTTTGTATATCGAAATGTTTAGAATACAGTTTCAAACAATATATTTGTACTGTACGTGCTTTATTACAATATCGTTTTGTATTAATTTTTTTTAATATGATGTATGATGTTAAGACAAAATATATTTAGAATCAAATTTTATGCATTGTGAAAATTTTAAATATTTTTAGTACATTTTTAAAAAATGGATTTGTTTCTACTTACGTTATAGCTTTCTTAAATTCCTTTTAGTGTAAGTAATGTATCGCAAACCTTTAATGTTCAAATAAAATTTTTATATGGAAAAACCTTTAATGTTATTAAGTAAGTAAATAATATTCAACTATTATACAAATGATAAGAGTTTACGTATTTGATTAAGATAATATGAAAATATTTATGTTTACCCAGTGATTGATAGGTTTCAAATGATTATTACACCACATAATTTACCAGTACTTAATATTTTTATAAGAAAATTTGTTACTATATTACTGTGTTATTAGGTACGAATATTTCATTATTTCGGATTATTTTAACAAGACATACAGGGTGATTCACAAATGGTGACCAAAAAAGAAACCTCGTATTCTATGGTGAATTATAAGGGGCGTCTTTTCTATAAAATTTTCATCTAGGACGCCTCATTAGAAAGATACAGGGTCTTCAAAAAATATATTTATTTTTTTAAATAA